AGTAAATAATCTATGCTTTGCAAGCCATACAGTCTCTGTGGCAACTACTCAACTCTGCCTTATGGCACCAGACCATTTATCAATAAATAAGTGTGGCTGTCTGCCAATAAAACTTTATGGACCCTGACTACGGAATTTCAAATAACTTTCACATGTCACAATGTCCTATTTTTCACTTGATATTCTTCAATCATTTAAAAAGGTAAACACGATTGTTAACTCACCAGCCATACAAAAACAGGTAGCTATGGTGCCACCAGATTTGGACCAAGAACCATAGTTTGCCACCCTGGCCTAGGGCCCAGTTTTCCCGCAGCCCATGCCAATTCCTTTCCCCCACCATTTACATAAATCTACAAATATGTGTTTCCCTTTTAGCAAAACATTCCTTTTTTTTCTTTAGGTCTCTGACGCCTGATCTCTATTTCTTTCCCCCAGGTCCCGTAAGTCCAACAGAACAATAAGGAGGTCAGGAAAGACACGGAGCACGGCCTGGAGAAAGGACACGAGTTCCTCCTGTGTAGCTTTCCAGCTATGTGATCTTCTGCAAGTTATATAACCCTTTCAAGTCTCCACTTCACCATCCATAAGTTTTTTTTGAAAAATCATGATATCCAATCACCTGAAAGTATTCCTGAAGGTGTGACTTTATACTAAGTAAGGTAAGTAGAGCAGAAAGATATAGCCCATGGAGACGAGTTGCCAACCACATTTCAGAAACAAGGCCTTGTCAGATATTTCATTGATAAATTACTACATCATGTTAGTGTATGGGTCCCCAGGTAGAGAAAGGGAGGTTGGTGAATTCAGTCAAAATCCTAGGGAAATGAGCAGCTAGCAATCTCACTGACTGCATCCTACGTTTCAAAATTCTACAAGTGGGCCAGAAACTCAACAAATATACATTGAGAACCTTGGTGACAGAACAGGGAAGATACTGTGACGAGCACAAAAATGAATAACTTCGTCCCTCACTTCAAAGAATTTACAGTTTGTTAAACATAAAAATCAATCATACAGGGGTGCCTGGGTGGCTCAGTCAGTTAAGCGTCCGACTTCGGCTCAGGTCATGATCTCACAGTTCGTGGGTTTGACTCCCATGTCGGGCTCTGTGCTGACAGCTCAGAGCCTGGAGCCTGCTTCAGATTCTCTGTCTCCTTCTCTCTCTGCCCTTCCCCACTTATGCTCTGTTTCTCTCTGTCTCAAAAATAAACATTAAAAAAAAAGCAATCATAAAAGTAGGTATTATTTATATAAACCAACTGCATTAAAAAGTGAGAAAGTGAGCCAAACAAAAGACAGTAAGGGAAAGGATCTCCAAGGAGCTAGACTTACCAATGAATAGAATTTCAAAGAGAACAGACAGACACAGAAATTTGAGAGTATTGTACATGCAGACCTGCTGGGTATGTGAATTATTAATTCCACTAGACATTACTCAACTGTCCTCCAAGGATGATGCACTTCAACCAGTAGTTTGCAGGTTCCGATCCTCAAAAGAGTTGTTATGATCAGAGTTTATTCTTAAAATGTCTAAGTTGGTGTGATGGGAAGAAAGGGGTATTTTAATTTAACTTTCATTTACTATCCTCACATTCTCCAGAGGTGTTTTCTATGTCCCTTTTTATATTACGAAATAAAAGGCACAGTCTTTTTACGCATGATGAGTTGTTCCATGCGGCTGGAGCCCAGGACACAGAAAATGTGCAGAAGGACAAGCCTCTCTCTGTCTCTCTCTCTGTCTCTCCCTTCCAGAGGTTTCTCTCTTTCTCTCTCTCTCTCTCTCTCTCTCTCTCTCTCTCTCTCTCTCCACACCCCCTTCCAGAGGTTTCTCCAGGACCTTGGTCTTCCCTTCTCCACCCCCCAAATTGCCAGTTTGCATCAGCAGATCGGACAAACCTTTGCTTTCCTCCCTGAATGTGCCAGAGTAAATTAAAGAGTTTATAAATGAACATGGTTGAAAAATACTGGTCTTGACAGAAACATCTGAAACCATTTCCTTCATTTTTGCCCAAAACTTGGTTTCTGCCCAACTTAGATCAGGGAATAGTCAAGGTACCTCAGAAAACACACAAAAAGTTTGATCCTGGCCTGGAGACCTGGTTGTAAATACTTGGTGGAAATACATCCACACGTCTCCTTCTCTCATCTGGAAGGCAAAAAACTATAGGAAAGATAAATGAGGGTTTTAATCTGATTTGTGGAAACTCATTAGGAGAGTTTTGCCTCAAAAGCTCCCACAGGGATAAACTTCTATGGTAAAATCCCTATAAATAATTCTAGGAGAAAATAAGTGTTATTAACCAAAATCTTACTTAGATTCTTTCCATGCTAAAAGCAAAGTGGTAACCAAAAAGGAACGAACACAGTACACAAGCAAACTCTCAGTAGGTATAACTAAAAACAATGTTCTCAACTCTGGTCAACACACAGCATCAAACAGAGCTAGGAAAAATGAGATTCCAAAACTTGATTAATGTGATTCAAATAGCACATTCCTTACTACAGTGGAAAAACGGAAAATCACTATAAACATTTGCTTTCAAAAAGGAGTTGCTATTATCATTCCAGTAACACCATAACGCCACACTGCCTCCCATAGGCATAGATTTTTCTAATCCAGGTGTTTTTAACCTCGGGCAATTTTTCCCCTCAGGAGACATTTGGTCCTTTTACATTTTGAGACATTTTCCATTCTCACACTTGGAGGAGGGTGCTTTTGGTATCTAGTGGGTGGGGGCCAAGGATGTTACTAAACATAGAACAATGTGCAGGACGGCCCTTTTCATAAATAATGATCTGGCTCAAAATTTCAACTGGGCCAAGAAAGCCTGGTATAATCCATTTGTCCATGGCTAACTGGGACATGGTGACAAATACAGCTGGAGAGAAATGATAAGCACTTTTCTTAAAGACCTCCTAGTAAGCTAGACAAGTTCGAGTTCTAAAGTTCACTTGATGCTTAGATAGATAAGGAAGTTTCCAATTTAGCTATTCTCAGTTGTAGTATTTTAAGGGAGAAAATGAAACATAGTCCATGACTCTGGCCGTATTATCAAGCAGTGTACCCTCTATGTTTATCAGCTAATCACATTTACCTACACCAAAGTTCAGACTGGCTTCTGCTGCCTCCACATATTACAAATTAATATCTTCCTGCATGTAGGCGCTAACTGAATTCCCCATGCCTACCCACCAAGATCGACCAGAACTCAGATTTCAGCAGCGGGTTTTATATGGTCACTTTCTGAGGAAAACATTTGTATCTACAATTCCCTCTTATGCTACAATCCATTAAATTTTTACTGTCCAGGTCCATGAAACTTAAAAGCCAGAGTGGGAAAGCAAGATGACTTTGACTGTAAGCCTAAAGGAAGGTACAGAGATACCTTCTATTAAAAAGGGGGGGGCTGGGGGGAGACAGTGTTCATAATGCAGTGAACTAAAATATACAAAGCCTGAAGAGGTCCCTCTAAAGGAAGAAAAGCCCTTCGAGGTTATTTTATTTCCCGGTAAGGTTTCCTTGGGTGTTTCAACAAAGAAAGTCATTTTTTTCTAGGGATTTTTTTTTAATGTCCCTATTTCCAAGTTTGCTGGAGGCATTTACTTGTCTATTTTCTAGGTGTTTTACTAGAAGGAAATGTTAAAGTTATGAAAAAAACTTAGTTCAAATTTAAAAGAACCACACAGGTTTCAGAAATGCATTGTGAACCAAACACATTCATCTAGGAGAAAGAAAAGCATCATGTAACTGACAAAAATCCATCTAAATGCTGAAGTTTCTCAAGCTCACAAAGCAAGTACTGTTTGGCAGGAATGTAGAAAGATAGGCAATGCAGCCCACTGAAGCCTTCTGAAACACGTAAAGATAAAGACAAAACTATAGCTTACATGGACTACCTGGGTTCTACATCAAATGTCATTTTCTGACTGTAAACCTGAAATAGAAATTTCTGTCCTTCCGCTTAAAGTTCAAGCAGAAAAACGCCTTATTTGCTTACAAAAAAAAAAAAAAAAAAAAAAAAAAAAAAAAAAAAGACAAAATGATCCTAATTTAAAAAAAGAAACAGTACAGCACAAGGACATTTAAAGGCAAGATCTAATTTCAGAGAGCTGACCATAGAGCCAGAGCACAAAAGTGGAATACTCCAAGGATATCTCCTGCGCAGCAAATGGCACCAGAGTGTGTTTAGACAAACATGTGGTGAGGCTCTTTAATGCTGCTAAATGTAAAAAGTTTTGTTTTACACGAACTTGACTGCACTCTTCGCCGCAGTTCCAGCTTCTGAAAACAAGAAATGGCACCAGGCTTAGGAAAAGGGTGGCTAAGGGGAGATGTGTGTCCACAGCTTCCCCTCCAAATCCCCAAGGAGGAAAGCTGCCGCCTGGAGGTATTGGGTAGCCAGTCCGCCTTAGAGAAAACAGCCAAGGTTTTGAGCGTTGTTTTTGGCAAGAGGTAGGTGTTACCGGCTGCTTCCTGGGGCGCTGGAAGGAATGTGTCACCATCAATCAGAAAGTACACTGAGCCCCGTGTTTAGGTCACAGAGGGAGTACTGCCTCTTCAAACACGAATAAACCATGCCCATTCCAGGACAGGAGGAGAAAGGAGAGTTGCCCGAAAGGTGTTGGTGCCCCGTGACCTGCAAGACGAAAAGGAAACCCCAACTGGTGCTGAAGGAAAACTTCGTGCGCTCCCAGGTTACGGAGAACTCCGAGAACCCGCGAGGGCGGGTACTTCCCCGGGGACCAGCGCCGCCCTAGCGCACTTCTGGGGAAGACCTCAGCCGTCCCGAGGAGGAGGGACGATCACTCACTTCGGTGGTCCTGGCGAAGGGCAGGCTCCCACCTACTCACCTCTGCAGTCCTGGGGAGGGACGCCCCCCCCCACCTACTCACCTGGCCAGCCCCGCACGAAGGGCCAGTGGATGAATGAACTGCCCCCACCCCCACCCCCGCCGGCCGAGCCTCCCGGGACGCGGGCAAACCGCGGGAGGGCTCACCTGTGGGGATGCTGGAAGGCCTCTCCGGGTCTGCACCCACGCAGGGGCTCCAGAGCTGCAAGACGAGCGCCAGCAGCAGCAGCAGCAGCAGCAGCTGCGGCTTCCCGGCGCAGCACCCCATCTTCGGCCTCTCGAGGGCCGGCGCCGGCCCCGGCGCCCCCACTGCCCTGCAGCGGCGCACTTCTCGCGAGAGCGCGGGGACCCCGGTCCGCCCGGGGCCGACGATTGCGGGCGGGAGGCGGCGGGCCAAGTGCGCGCGGCGGAGCGGCGGGAGGGCGGCCGAGACCAGGCCGGCGCGGAGGAGCGGGCGCCCCCCGGCGTCGCGGGCAACTTATAGGCTCCCCGAGGGGGAGGCGACAGGGCGGGCCGCACCCCGGCTATTGGCCGCCGGCTGATCCGCCGCGCCGGTCGCCTGCTCGCTCTCCCGGGCCCTAATGATTGTTTGCTCCTGGAACCTGACCCATTTAAGGAGCTGTCTGTACATGTGTAGAGACTCACGCAGGGCTCTGGCTGGAACAGGGAGCGTGTGCTTAAGTTCGGGAGTGGGGGCCTGGGAGAGTGGGGAGGAGCCGCGGGGAGGCTTCTGGGCGCGCGGGCGGCGCTCTGCCGCCCTCAGCACCAGAAGCCCGGGAGCCCCCGAGGTGGGCGCGAATTTTAAGTCTTCGAGTGTTCTCCCAAGGGTGTCAGATACTTCAATCAGAAGCGGCTATAAACCCTGACAACCTGCCAGACTTCCTGTCCTGGGAAATGGAGGGCCCCCCTCCCACCCCTGCCCACCCCAGGGGGCGAGTCTTCCCCTCCTGAAGGAGGGGTCCTGTTTTTCTTTTTTTACCTGTAACCTGTTTTTATGGTCCGGCGAACATTTTCCTCCCCTCCTCCCGCCTGGGCCAGGAGAGCTCTCCAGTAATGGCTTCACTTGTAAATCCTGCGGAATGGCAGTCCAGCGTGTGTAACCTGAGGCTGTGCCTTACAAGATTCTCCTTCCAAAACATGGAAAATACTCCCAGAGTCGCTCACTGCTCCCCTGGGGTCCCTGGCGTCCTCCTGCTTTCCCGTTTTGACTCACGTCTCAGCAAATTCACTTTCTGTGTACTCCGTCTCGTTACATTTTAGCTAGCCCGGTGTTCAAGCTGTTGGGATGAGCTGAAGTATGCAGTGCACAGGGCGCGTGACATTGTGTTCATATTTCATGATAAGGAGGACATGGGAGAAAAAAAGAACCAGACTGGTATCAATACCACGGCAGTATCTCATCCTTAACGCTTCTTTTTCCTGCAGCCCAGAAAAAAAAAAAAAAAAAAAGATTGGAGCCAACACCTTCTCCCAACTCTGAGCCTTTGAAGTTAAAACAAAATGATTGGGGCGCCTGGGTGGCTCAGAGGGTTAAGCAGTGGACTCTTGGTTTCTGCCCTGGTCGTGATCTCAGGGTTCGTGGTCCGAGCCCCTCCTTGGGCTCTGTGCTGGCAGCAGGGAGTCTGCCTGGGATTCTTTCTCCCTCTCTCTCTATCCCTGCCCCACTCATACTGCCTCTGTCTCTCTCAAAATAAATAAATAAACTTAAAACAAAATGATTGAAAAAGATATCCCATTATGATCAAATTTTCAAGATATATAGATGAGTCACCTCTATATAGATACAGTCGCATATCAGTTTAATGGTCGCGTTAAAAACAGGTGGAAAAACCTGCAAAGAACTGTTGCCTGGGTGTGACGTTTTAGAAAACCATTTCCTATGCCCAGAACTAAGCCAGTTGTTACTGTGTTTTGAAGGTTTGGTCTCAGTATTTTAAGAGGAAAATTGGAGAAAGTTCAGAGAAGGGTAACAAATAATCAAAGAGATGGAAAGTATGACCTATGAGAAGAATGAAATAAGGTTTATTCAGCGTGAAGAAGAAAAAGCTCAGGGATGGATTCCTTAATAACATCCCTCAGTGTGTGGCCAGCGCCACTCCAAAAAACCAGGCAGCAAACAAACAACATCAGTCCTCTGAATCTGAGGACTCAAGGGAATGGCCAGTCTTTGGGCCAAATCTCAGTCTCCAGAATTCCAAAACCTGGCTACTGCACCTGAACTCTGCAAAACTTTGTGAACTGGACTCCTTGCTTCCCTGCTTCCATATCTTCAAGAATTCACCTGCTTAGAGCCTAGCTTTTTGCCCTGCCACAAAAGCCTAGCTTTCGCCCCCGTGCACACTTAAACAGCGTCTCCACCTTGCAAGTGTGTGTGTATTTCAATTGCAAGGTCCACCGATGACTGCAGGTTACGACGACGTTTCTCCTCTATTGAGAGTCACAAGGTCAGGGCTAGAAGGCTTGTATAAAGCCAGTGTTTCTTGGGGATTTTCAGATAGCCAGGCACATTTATCGCTGTCTGAAAGAGCCCCAGTTCTGAAACCAAATCCTTCCTGCCTTCTTATATTTCCAGCTGTCTGCTGAACGTTTCTGCTTGGACATTCCACTGGCACAAACCCCAAATGTCTTTAACTCATCAAATCCAGATCCCACTCACAGCTTCCTCATCTCTGTTAATGATACTTTTCCTCTCTAACTCACATAGCCTCAGACATTTTCTACTTCTCTCCTTCCACCCCCGTAACACACAGAACTAGATTCCAAAGCCTGTCATTTTTTCCCTTGGACATTTTCACTCCGTCTATTCCTTTCCATTCTCACTGCCACCTCACCAACGCACTCCTGAATATATCCTAACTGTGCTGCCTGAATGGTTTCCTAACTGGTCACCCACCCGTATACCCCCCCCTGCCCCGGTACAATACCACTGTATCTATCACAGGTAGTTTCATCATACTCAGATATCCTTTTGATTACTTTATCCCCAAACTCAGAGATTTCATAAGGAATTTGGAAACAATCCAAATCCCTTAACATAGAATTCACATTCTGTTACTATCAAACCTAATCACCTCCCCACCCCCCCCCATACCCTATACACAACCAATATGGTTTGCTTTATTGTCTCCCAAAGCATACAAAGACTTTGTCATTTTTATTCGCTAGAGTTTGGGTAAAAATCACTGTATTCATTTGGCTTTTTCCAGAGGCCAACCCTGAGCCACGATTCAAGGATCAACAGTTTGTTGGGAGTTTCAAAGGAAAGGGGTAGCTGAGGATGAACTGGCAGAGGAAAGGGAATTTAGTCCATAATGGGTGCATTATTAAATCTACAGCAGTGAGTGACTGGAGTTCAATCCAACAGAATTGATGTACTTACCCTTCCAAAATAACCTGGCCAAGGGGGAGAGAACTGGGGTATATATATACCCTAACACTCATTAGTCATTAAGAACTGAGGGAAACTTGTTAATTCTGAGGCATTCCCAGCCTGGCTATGCTGTAGGCATAGCAGGATCCCAGTAATGATGCAGCTCTTGGCCGTAAGTCAGGTTGGCATATTCAGAAATGGTAAAAAGCTCTGAGGAAAAATGAGAGGAGCACTAACAGCATCTACTCAGCCACCATGTCTCCGTTCATGTCGTCCCTCCGTCTAATAAGCTCCTCTCCAAACCTTCCCTCCTCCTTTCATTAGGCTAACTTTTGTCAGGCTCAGGGGCTACCTCCTATAGGAAGCCCAACTTTGGTGCCTCATCCTACCTCAGGCTGGGTTAGGTACCCCTGTTCCAGGCTTTCTAACTCCTTAAACAAACCTCTCTCGTTTTGGACAGTTTTTTTATCTGACAGTTTGTTTATTGAGGGCAGGATCCAATTCTTCATCATTGCATATTAAGTAACTGGCTCATAGTAGTATGTATTCATTCATTCGTTTAGTCATTCAAAAAACATTGACTGTATACTTACTATGTGTAGACACTGTTCTAGATGCTGGTAAAACACATATACCCATGAAAAAACAAACATCCGTATCCATTTACTCTTACATAAAGAAAGAGATAATAAGGGCGCCTGGGTGGTTCAGTCAGTTAAGCGTCCAACTTCAGCTCAGGTCATGATCTTGCCACTCAGAGTTCGAGCCCTGCTTTGGACTCTGTGCAGACAGCTCAGAGACCGGAGCCTGTTTCAGGTTCTGTCTCTCCCTCTGTCTCACTCTCTGCCCCTCCCCCACTCACACTGTCTCTCTCTCTCTCTCTCTCTTTCTCTCTGTCTCTCAAAAATAAACAAACATTTAAAAAAAGAAAGAGATAATAAATATATATCATGGTGATAAGTGGTAGAGAGAAAATATATCAGGAAAGGTAACTAGGAAGGACCAAGGAGGGGAGGGTATGCTGAATTTTTGTATAGGAGGTCGTAGGAAGTCCTCACGGAGAACATGATGCTTGAGCAAAGATCCAAAAGTGATGAGGAAAAGAGGTGATTGTGCTGCATGGGCAAACTGTGTCCTGGGAAGAAGAGACAGGAAGCTTGAAGATTCTGAGGCTAGAACATATCCAGAGTGGTAAAAGAAGGCAAGATAGCAATGAGCAGGAGTTCAGTGACTGTGGATGAGACTAGTAGGAGACGTAGCCTGAGGGGAAACAACGAGGGCAAAGGTAAGCAGATATGGGGGCGGCGTGAGGTCATAGAGCCTGGTAACATCTTTGGTCCTAAGCCAAGTGAGATAAGCCACTTACATCTGAAATAGTCAAACTCATGGAAGCAAAGAATGGCCAGGGGCTGGGGGAGGGGAAAAGGGGAGCTGCTAATCAATGGCTGTAACATGTTAGTTGCATAGGATCGATATGTTCTAGAGATCTGCTGTACAACATTGCATCCAGAGATAACGATAATCTCCTCTACGTTTAAAAGTCTGTTGGGGGGCGCCTGGTGGCGCAATCGGTTAAGCCTCCGACTTCAGCCAGGTCACGATCTCGCGGTCTGTGAGTTCGAGCCCCGCGTTGGGCTCTGGGCTGATGGCTCAGAGCCTGGAGCCTGTTTCCGGTTCTGTGTCTCCCTCTCTCTCTGCCCTTCCCCCGTTCATGCTCTGTCTCTCTCTGTCCCAAAAATAAATAAAAACGTTGAAAAAAAAAAAAATCTGTTAAGAGGGTCGATCTCAGGTTAAGTGTTCTCACCACAAGGAAAAAAAGAGAGAGATCGCATCATTTGGATTGTTGTACACATAGCAGTGACATGGTCTGGTGAAGGGTTTGAGAAGGATCACAGAAT